GCCTCCCAAGTAGCTGGGACCACAGCCGCCCGCCACAACACCCGGCTATTTTTTGGTTGCAGCCATCGTTGTTTTGGCGGGTCCGGGCTGGGGATTCGAACCCGCCACCTTAGGTGTACGTGGCTGGTGCCTTAGCTGGTTGAGCTATAGGCGCCGAGCCATTTTTATAGTATTTGATACCCCAAACTTATTTCTGGGAGGGTCTGGGCCTTTTCTCTACCCACTTAGAGAAGAGAAGGAAAAGGTCTGGGCAGGACTGTATACCTCACACTAGCCAGCACTGGTATGGCAGTGTCAGCTCCCCAGAGACTGGACTTGTTTGTTTGTTTATTTATTTTTTGACAGAGTCTCACTATGTCATCCTTGGTAGAGTGCCATAGTGTCACAGTTCATAGTAACCTCAACTCTCGGGCTTAAGCTATTCTCTTGCTTCAGTCTCCCAAGTAGCTGAGACTGCAGATGCCCACCACAACACCCAGCTATTTTTTTGGTTGCATTTGTCATTGTTGTTTAGCAGGCCCAGGCTGAGTTTGAACCCGCCAGCCTCGGTGTATGTGGCCAGCGCCCTACTCACTGAGCTACAGGTGCCAAGACTATTTATTTTTGAGACAGAGTCTTACTCTGTTGCCCTGGAATCCTAGTTCACAGCAGGGGTCTTGCTTTTGCTCAGGCTGGTCTCCAACTCTTGAGCTCAAGCAGTCTACCCACCTTGACCTCCCAGTGTACTAGGACAGCCACCACACCTAGTTATTTATTCATTTTTTAATTATTTATTTTATTTTTATTTATTTTTTTTTTTAGAGACAGAGTCTCATTTTGTTGCCCTCAGTAGAGTGCTATGGCATCACAACTCACAGCAACCTCCAACTTCTGGGCTGAGGCAATTCTCTTGCCTTAGCCTCCTGAGTAGCTGGGACTACAGGTGCCCACCATAATGCCCAACATTTTTTTGTTGCAGTTTGGCTGGGGCTGGGTTCAAATTTGCCACCCTCAGTATATGGGGCTGGTGCCATTCCCACTGAGCCATCAAGCCATAGGCACTACCCATAAAAATGCTCGATTATTTTTTGTTGTAGTTGTCATTGTTTTTTAGCTGGCCTGGGCCGGGTTTGAACCTGCTAGCCTCAGTATACATGGCTGGTGCCATAACCACTGTGCTATGGACACCGAGCCCACCACACCTAGTTTAATATCTTAGTTCTTATTCTTCTAATCCAGGAGGACTTATTTACACACAGGTGTGTGTACATATACACACAATGTAATATGTAAGTGCAAGTGCCAAAATGAAATTATATTGCAAACTGCTTCTTTTAAGGCAATGGTTTCCATCTTCCCATTGCTATAAATGTTTATCTCATGTTCTTCATATTAAAATTCCCACCCCTCCTCAAATGTTCCCTAGAGCTGAGTTGTCCAAACCAGTATCTGCTCCTGGACTATAAGCTA